AATTTACACAGCCAGGAGCCAAAAGTTATTCTTCCTATGCCCTTTTTTTTTTTTTTAAACAGAGTTTTGCTCTTGTTGCCCACTCTGGAGTTATTTTTTTTTTTTTTTTTTAATGGAGCTTTGCTCTTGTTCCCAATGGTGCAATCTTGGCCTGTTGCAACCTCTGCCTCCTGGGTTCGAGTGATTCTCCTGCCTCAGCATCCCAAATAGCTGGGATTACAGGCACGTGCCACCATATGCAGCTAATTTTCTATTTTTAGTAGAGATGGGGTTTCTCCATGTTCGTCAGGCTGGTCTCAAACTCCCGACCTCAGATGATCTGTCTGCCTCGACCTCCCAAAGTGCTGAGATTACAGGTATGAGCCACCATGCTCAGCCATTCCCGTGCTTCTGATTGTGTTGTAGTTATCTGGGTAATTCTCCTTCTTACAAAACAACTTGTACTGGGAATATGAATAAGATTTCTTTCCTTGGAAAATTCATGTACAGAAAACAAGTGTGTTCTGCAAAATATGTGCTCTACTCCCTTTATCATTGGTGGGAGAGGCTACCTTTATCATTGGGTGGCAGCATTCAAGTTACTTTTATTTCCATTACCTTTCATGTGCTTTGCTACATTTCTAATCTTTGTATAAATATATATCTTATCGTAAAAGTACAATAACTTGAAACTTGTTTTCAAACTTATTTTGGCTAAAGATCAGATATACTAAGCTCACGCTGACCTCAGTCAGTTATTTTCAATCCTAAAAATGTATCCTCTCTGATATCTGACATGTCTCCCAGTCAATTTCTCCCAGTAGCTGTTAGCCATGAAACAGTTGTCTTGTACTTGGTATTGTCTGTGAATGCTTGAACTTGATCATTGTGGTTCAATTGTCAATTTAATTGAGTAATGTTCACTTTGGGCAATATTGGAGTTAGTTTTACACTTATTTAAAACAAAACGTATTCTAAAATATTACGTTAGAATTCAACATTGAATCAGAAAGGTAGTGTTTATGCAGAAAGGTATGGAAATAGAATTGTGGGTCATACATTCAATAGTAATAAAACTGATCTAAAGAATGATCACATTCTATACTTTCTCACAAAAAAATAGTTTTATGTAATCTAAAGAAGGACTGAATCCACAAAAGATAGTTTGTTAAAATTTTATTCCCGAGATACATACAAAAGGACAAGGCTATATCCCTAGGAAAAAAGGATATTTTAAAATAATGGGAGACTGGTGTGACCAATTAATTAATCAAGTACAAAAAAGATTTTACAAAAAATATCGAATAAAAAGTCTAAATGAGAAGGTATTATTGTGTCATAGTTTAATTGAAAAGTCTTTTTTTTTAGTGGTAAAAAGCTCACTCTTATAATTGATGGCAGTCCCGATTCAATAAAATACAGTAACTTCAATTTAAAAACAAGCTAATGAAATATTTTAAGACTAACATTATTAGAAAAATCTAATACTCCTGGAGACTGAAGAGTGTTGTGGAGCAGTATTTGGCAGTGGATTCACCACAATGCCCCAAATTCAACACTTTGAATTCTCCACAAATGCTTCCCCTCCCGCTTCTCCAGTTCAGCGCTCTCACATTTCCTGATGTCCTTGATGGAATGTCTACAGTGACTCTCAGTTATACACATTCAGTATCTATTCACCCTCATGTTCTCCCCTGCTCTCCAGGAAAGTGGCTATATCTATTTGTGCTTAAGCATAACAGACATTGACCTGCAACTGTAAAACTGCCATCTCTGTTTGAGAGATGATTCTCCAGGCACCTCAAATAAAAATGGAAGATTTTGAAGTGGCCAAAAAAAAGAAAGGGTTAATTTTTAGCTGATGGTCTAAATTTTGAAAATTCACATTTTAGAGAATTCTATATTTCTTCTACTTCCTCTATCCCTAGGATGCACAATTAATCAAATTATAGTTACTTGGAGCATGGAGATTTTCATCTTCCACATAGTTTCACATTATCACAAAAAAATTATAATTCGTGGCTGCAGGTTGCCAAGAATTGTGACTACTTCCTGAAACAAGCAATGTTACCATTTCTATTTTCTCCTTGTTTCCAGGTTTGTCTTACAAAGTATACACAGATGTTAAAATTACTGGAGTGGGAGAAGAGAGGTGAAAAATCCTGCATACTACATGTGCACCCTGCCTGGGAATCAAGGGAGAGAGTTCACTTAGTGATCAAATGCTTGGCTATAGAATAAGCTTTGTAGCTATCGAGGCATGACACTAGAGATCAAATGTTTACCTTAATAACTAGACCTCCTGCCTCAGCCTGAATATTTTAAGCACCAAAACTTAATCCCCACTCCATCCATTCAACTTAATTACCCCCACAGACATTTACTCCTAACATAAAACACTGAAAAGGAAAAGCCCAACAACCTCTAAAATACACATTCCACAAACAGAAAAATAACAGAGCGGAGAGGGAGCTCAAAGGAACTAGAAACCCCCTTTCTCATAACGATCAAAGCATCAAAACACTGGAAAGTTGATTTTTATGTAAATGAAAGACAAATAATGCAGTCACCCAAATAAGGAAATGATCATGGAGGCCGGTTTTTATACTGATGAAATGAAATGCTCCAATCCAGTAAATACACGCTTCACTTTGTCCCTCCACTTGAAGGGCCTTGTTTTTGGTCAAAACTGCTCACCTCTCACTTTAAAGTAAGTCTCTCCAGGACTGGGTACTTGAACATTTTTAAAAATAAGTCTAACTCCAAAGAACCTTAACAATAAATAACATGATTAATTAGGAAAATAGGAGGAAACAAAATGTTATCGAATCGTTTTCAGCATGTTTATTCTTTCTCCAAATGTTCTGCTGAAGCAGCAGCATCTCTGTTCTTTCTTTCCAGCCATGATTTTCCTCCCCAGGAGCAACCCGACATTTCTCTTATTTTTGCAAGTTGCTTACTTTTTTTGTGCTTTACTGACTGGTACTATACACATACAGTCAATGCTCTAATTCCTTCTGCAGCTACAATATTTGCTCTTATGGCATTTCTATACAAGGGATTCTTACTTCAGGTCAGAAAAGTTGTTCCCTTGTTATGTCCATTGATTAAAAAACAAAATAGTCAGAGGTCATGACTACTCAAACCTATAGTGTTTTATAAGGTTGATCATAGAGTTAGAATATCCTTGTACATAAATAAGCATTTACCTAAGGCATTACGTCAAGAGTGTCTACCTCCTCTACGGGCAGCGTTGGCCTTGGGTGGAACTGTCCAGTAGGTAAAGTTTGTCCCCAACAATGCTACTCAAAATGTGGTTCATAGACCAGCACCAGTCTCCTGTTATCTATCTCTTAATGTGATAAGTACAGAAAATTGCAGGTGAGGATTTAGGTATTTTTATAGCAGTTCTACATTGCCTGATATTCTAGTGTATGCTCAGTGGACATATCTCACTAAGCAGTGTGAGTACCCACCTTGATGTTGCCAAGTACAAATGACGAATAACTTTTGGTGTGAACTGATACCAGTGTTGGTCTACAACAAGTTGGAGAAAAGTAACTGGTCTTCATGAAAGATAGTTTAAAGAATTCATCTAGAGCATGTTCTCACCTCCTTTTCAAGGATTTTTCATCTTAAATATTGCCCCAAGCTTCCTGGTCTCACAGAATCTGTGGTCTGCTGAGAAACTGGGCTAAGGAATTAACACCTATAAATGTAAATCTATGTTATAAGTAGATGTTATGGGAACAGACACTTGATACAATGCCTTAGATGATGCTTACTTATGCACAATGATCTTCTAACTCCAGTAGAGTTCTTAGACAACACTCCGTGAATGTATACGACACCTATGAATGTAAACCTACTCTCCCCACCCCCAATTTCACCCCAACCATTCATAACTTAGCCATGCTTGTTTATACAAAGCTCTGATGTGTCATGTCTAAGTAAAAGCTTTGCCCCTCCCAGACACACCCACTAGCACTCCAAAACTGTTAGCACATCATAGTTGTACTATCAGTGCTTGAAACTAAGAGCATTAATCTGAAAAAATAACTGATTCATCTCTGAAGGACACCTGGAAGTCTCCTACTCAAATCAGATTCTGAGTGAAGACCACGCCTTGCATCAAAAAACAGCCACCCACCTTAATCATAAACATCACATCCAGTGCACACACACGCACACGCGCACGCGCACGCACACACACACACACACACATACACATGCAGGCACATCATGCAGAAAAGCATGCAGAGAGACATACACAGACTACCATGTCCAGACTGTGGCAACTGTCTTTTGTTTGAAAAGCAATTACATGGCCACAACCAGCAGACCCAGCTCTGGCCTGGATACTCCATAAAGAAAGCAACATTTCACAAGTTCATTTAGACATTGTCATTCTGGGTTAGAATAGGTATTAAAGTTTTTACCTAAATTGATACAAACATAACCATCTTTAACCCCAAGGCTCTGTGAGAGGTAAACAACCTTTGGATTTATTCCAGCTCCATCACTTTCTGGTGTTTGATTTCCAGCAATTTGTTCAACTTTTCTGAGATTTTTTTTCTTCTGTCAAGTGAAGATAACAGTACATGCTTTATGGAGTTGTGGGGAGAATTAAATTATGATAAAATGCTTAACAAGATGTCTAGCATGTAACATATCTATTGAACATAAAATCTCTCTATTCTTTACCCAGTTTTCTTATAGGATGTCTTTTCAGCCAAGGCTTCTTTCTTAAAAAGGTCATCTAAGACCTCCCTATTCATATATGTATATGAAATGTATAACTGGTAAGCTCTTCATTTACAAATCTCTGATATCTCCCATTGGCAGAATCAAACCACAGAGAAGCGAATGGGAGGAGAAGAGAGAGGAAAGAATCTCTGTGTTAAAACCACAGTGGGGAATGGCTGTCTGACCCTTTCTAGATTCTGACAAACTGCCCAGGGTCTAAGCCTGCCAATATCTAGGAATTGGAGGGAGTCTGTTCAGTTTGGGACACAACTTACCTTATCTTGTGTCTGGATCCTAGAAAGGAGCACGTATTTGAGAAGTTCTTCAGACAGTACTGATGTATTGTTGCCTTTGAGGCCCACTGACCTGGATGAAGAGGTACAAACATGCAGAATTACTGTATCTGACGGTAATGATACTACAACTAACTGCAAGAGGAGCATAAAGAAAAGAGAGAGACAGAGAGAGAGAGAGAGAGGATTCCACTTAGGGCAGCAACCAACACTTAGAGGAGATGACACATGGGCTGAATGTTTGGGGTGTGAGCAACAGAAAGATACATACAGGGAAGAAGCTCAGACTCATTAAATTTGCCAGGAAAAAAAAAACACAGCCTAGCTATAAATGAGACCTTAGAGTTTAGAATAATCGAGGTGGGTGGATCATGAGGTCAAGAGATCGAGACCATCCTGGTCGACATGGTGAAACCCCGTCTCTACTAAAAATACAAAAAATTAGCTGGGCATGGTGGCGCACGCCTGTAATCCCAGCTACTCAGGAGGCTGAGGCAGGAGAATTGCCTGAACCCAGGAGGCGGAGGTTGCAGTGAGCCGAGATCACGCCATTGCACTCCAGCCTGGGTAACAAGCGTGAAACTCCGTCTCAAAAAAAAAAAAAGAATAATATAACTGTTTTTTTTTTTTTGCATTGATGTAAGTTTCAAAGATATTAAGAAGACATTAGAAAAGTATTGGCTTCAGGCAAAATGTAAAATACTTTCCCAGACACCTGGCAAAAAGAAGGATTATTTCCACTCAGAGCTCTTCATAGGATAACTTTGAGTTTTAATGGTTCTTTGTTGACTATTGAAAAATATGACTATTTTTTAATGCAATTGTATGCAGGAATTATGCTCGTCCAGAAAAATAAATTAACTTAAAAACAAAATTCAGAAATTCTCTATTGGAATGAAAATAGGTGTCTGCAGGGAACTGCCAACTCATGTAATTCTAATGGAATTCTCTAAGGACAATTATCTAATAAGTTCCATTTTGCAAGAGAAATAATTGCAATGGAGCCACACTTCCCAAAATGCATTTGGCCAGGGCCATAGCTTCATACAAGTTGTAGTGCTTTTCTTTTTCTTTGCCTTTTCTTTAAGTTAGGGTCTCTCTCTGTTACCCAGGCTGGAGTACAGTGGTGTGATCTGGGATCACTGTAACCTCTGCCTCCCAGACTCAAGCAATCCTCCCACCTCAGCCTCCCAAGTATCTGGGAGTTCAGCTAAGCTAATTTTTGTATTTTTTGTAGAGACAGGGTTTTGCCATGTCATCCAGACTGGTCTCGAACCGCTCAGCTCAAGTGATCCACCCACCTTGGCCTCCCAAAGTGTTGGGATTACAGACATGAGCCATTGCACCCAACCTGTAGTGCTTTTAAATAAGCAAAAAGATTACTGAAAGGACAAAGTGGTAAATGCTTTACTGGCTTCATATATATATATATATATATATACACACACACACACACACACACACACACACACACACACACACACAATGTAAGCTGTTTTCAAAATTAGCCTGAATAATACATAAACGAACACTTAAATCCCTCATCTAAATTGTCTTTGTTCTTGGTAATTGTATATATTTTGTACAGTATCTATGCAGTTTCTTTTATTAATTATAAACTACACTACTGATCAGGTTTCACAGGCCTCCCCCACCTATTTGAATTATTATTACCAGTCTTATGATCAACTATTTAATCCCTCAAGGTGCAGGATACAAATGAAAATAATGTTGACAGCACCATCAAGAGGAACAACATGAGAGAGGAAACATAGAAATGAGGAAAAACAGAAAACTCATGAAAAGATACACTTTGAGGGTTTACCGCCTGTGAATAGCTATCATTAAAAAGACAGATATTAACAAATGTAGGTGAGGATACCCTCCTTCATGGCTGATAAAATGGCAAAGCTAACTTGAAAACCTTTTGGCAGTTGCTCAAAAGGCTGAACGTAGAATAACCATGTGACAAAGCATTTCCCTTTGTAGGTGTATGGTATGGGCTGAACTGTGCAGCCTCTGAAACTAGTATGTTGAAGTCCTAACCACTAATACTTCGAAATGTCATCCTTTTTGGAGATAAGATCTCTAAAGAGGCAATTAAGTTAAAATGAGGTCTTTAGGGTGGGCCCTAGTGCAATATGACTGGCATCCAAGGAAGAAGAGATTAGGACACACAGCAGGGACTTGCATGCACAGAGGAAAGGCCATGTGAGGATGCCACAAGAAGGCAGCCATCTTCAAGCCAAGGAGAGGGGTCTCAGGAGAAACCTACCCTGCTGACACCTTGATCTTGGACTTCCAGCTTCCTGAACTGTAAGAGAATGTATCTGTGGTGTTTAAGCAACCCACTTGAGGAGATTGGTTATGGCAGTCTTTGCAAACTAATACAGTATGTATGCAAGATAAATAAAACATTTGTCCACACAAAACATTCTACATGAGTGTTCATAACAGCATTATTCATAATGGCCAAAAATAGAAACAACCCAATTATCTATCAACTGATAAACAATATATGGTATATCTATACAATGGAATATTAGCTACAAAAATTAATGTCCAGAATAGGCAAATCCAGAGAAAGAGAAACTATGGTTTAGTGTGTGCCATGGGCTGGCAAAAGAGGAATGCAGAGTGACTGCTAATGAATATCAGAGTTTATTTTGGGGAAGATAAAAATATTCTGGAAATAGTAGTGATTGTTACAGAACCTTGTGATATACTTTTTCAAGTATAACATGTACACTTTAAGGTATACCACAACATGTACACTTTAAAGGGTAAATTTTATGTTGGCCAGCCTGGTCATGAATTCCTGACCTTGAATTATCCACCCTCCTCAGCATTCTAAAGTGCTGGGATTACAGGTGTGAGCCAGCACACATGGTGAAACCCTATCTCTATTAAAAATACAAATATTAGCCAGGCATAGTGGCAGGTGCCTGTAATCCCAGCTTCTCAGGAGGCTGAGGCAGAGAATCACTTGAAACCAGTAGGCAGAGGTTGCAGTGAGCCAAGATCGCACCACTGCACTCCAGCCTGGATGACAGAGTGAGACTGTCAAAAAAAAAACAAACAAAAAAAACTTTATGCTATATGAAACATATCTCAATAAACCTATAAAATAAAAAAGAGAAGAGACTAGTCCTGTCTTCTTTAAAACTTGATGCAGAAATAAAGCTCTTCAAAAGTAAGTCGGATGCAGAAAGAAAGCTCTTTCAAAGGAAAGAACTAAAGCAAGAAACAAAAATCACCCACTCTAATATTTGGAAGTGAAATGCAAAACTGAAATATGAGAATATGGCTTTTTACTTTATGAAGCCCTGATTTAAATTTTTTCTTTATGCTTTAACAAAATCCCAAAAGTAAATGGTGACAAGAACAAATGCTAAATGTATTAAAATAGAGCAAAAAGAAAAAACAAACAAACAAAAACAACTTTACCTCCTGTGAATGTGAGACTCTGATACTGAATAATTAAAGGAATTGAGGGAAATGAGAAAATGGATACTTGGATAAAAGAAAGCTAAGAGAATATCAATTATTAGAAGAAATGACAGGATGCTTAACTGGGCTTGCCCTTAACATTACAACACAAATCAGGTGTTTGCTTTTACCAAAATGGGGACACCTAAAAAGGCAGTGACTTTGGAGTCATCTATGAGAGGTTGGCATGGCCACTAAACATTGTGAGTTTGTCCTTAAGGTGCCTAGACAAAATTGACTTACGAACTCTTTGTGTATCCTGAGTGACAGATAGTTCCCAGTCCCCAGCCTACGAGAGACCCTTGGCAGAAAACCATCGGTCTCTGTGGCATTCCCACTACCATAGATCCATCCTGGTTTCCCAGCTCTCTGCACATTCTCTCCTCTGCCACAGGTTCCGTGAGTAAGAAGGCCATCTTGGGTCTCTTACTGTGTCTTCTCCAAATTTGACGGCTTTGAACGCCTTCCTTAAAGGCCAACCAGGTAAATTTCCTACCCATTTAGACAACTCTTTTCTAAATGAGGGATGACTCTTGGGGTTACCACTGATTTTCAGGGTCAATGCTGTCATCTTTGCCTTAGCCACCATCTAACTGAGCCACTCTGAGGGGACACATGGCAACACCCTAATTGGGCTGGGTCAGTGCCACTCTCTTCAATGTTAGTGTCATATTCTGGTCCACCAGCTATACTGCTATTTCTAGTTCCTGGTCACCTCTGCCCCAACCCACACCATCCCTTTCAAGGATAATCAGTTTCCCCTGCCCGTGCACATACTTATTTACCTAGGCCACACCTCATATTAGATGATAATTTCCTGCTTCTTTCTGGACTTCTTATGAATAAATGAACTTCTCTCCACTTGCTTTCAGGTCTCAAAAGCATTTCTCCTAATCAGTGATGGTGTGTTTGCAAACAGTGAGAAATCTGAATATGTATCATGAATCTACACATGGTATTTTTTATCTTCCTATTAAGATAAATCATTTGTTCTTCTTTTGCTAAAAACTAATAAAAATTAAATGTATATATCAGACACCAATACAAGGTAAATATCATATGCACAAAGTTTTTAAGAAGTTCACAGGGTATCTTTCATGTAGCATATGGTTCAATTGCATCTGTCTTCTTTTTTGCTGTGTTATTGATTTCTATTATAAGATGCCAAGGGGTGTTTATGTGATAAGTTGCCCTATAAATGGCTTTGTACTCAGACAATGAAATGAGAAATGTTCATCTATAATCGTAGTCCAGATGCTTTCTTGAAAATGTTGCATTTAATGCTGTCAAAAACTTTGTTTTCAAACCAGAACAAAGCAAAACAAAGCTAGCTTCCCTTTAATTGACATACCTTGTATGACCAGCATCACCCACACTTCTAAGCTATGTGAAAGAAAATGTGATTCTTAGAGGGAAAACAAAATCCTGAGAGAAAAATTCCAAAATTAAAATATTTAAAGTTCTGTCTCCTTTTGTAATCAATGGTTGAGTTTAAACTCAGTGTTAATACTGTGTAATTTACAGCTGCCAATAAAGATTCCATTTCTAATGCCCAGACAATATGATGGCCGGATGTAAATTATT